GGGCAAGGTGATTGAGCGGGTGGTTGCTGAACAACTCCAAGCACGCCTGGAAGAAGCGGACCATTTGGATCCCTTCCAGTCAGGATTCAGGCCTCATCATGGGACTGAAACTGCCTTGGTCGCGCTGGTTGATGATCTCCGGCGGGCTAGGGACAAAGGTGAGAGCTGTTTCCTAGTTCTGCTGGATCTCTCAGCGGCCTTTGACACGATCGACCATAACATCCTTCTGGACCGTCTAGAGGGGCTGGCAGCTGGAGGCACTGTTATACAGTGGTTTCGCTCCCTCCTCCTGGGCCGTGTCCAGAAAGTGGTGGGGGGGGATGAGTGTTCAGACCCCTGGGCTCTCACTTGTGGGGTGCCTCAGGGTTCCGTCCTCTCCCCCATGCTTTTCAACATCTATATGAAGCCGCTGGGAGAGATCATCAGGGGGTTTGGGCTGGGTGTTCATCAATATGTGGGTGATACCCATCTCTACCTCTCTTTCAAATCAGAACCAGTGAAGGCGGTGAAGGTCCTGCCTGGAGGCGGTTGGAGGATGGATGGCAGCTAACAGATTGAGGTTAAATCCTGACAAGACAGAAGTACTGCTTTTAGGGGACAGGAAGTGGGCAGATGTGGAGGATTCCCTGGTCCTGAATGGGGTAACTGCCCCTGAAGGACCAGGTGTGCAGCCTGGGAGTCATTCTGGACTCACAGCTGTCCATGGAGGCGCAGGTCAATTCAGTGTCCAGGGCAGCTGTCTACCAGTTCCATCTGGGTCTACCATCTCCATCTGGTACGCAGGCTGAGACCCTACCTGCCCGCAGACTGTCTCGCCAGAGTGGCGCATGCTCTGGTTATCTCTTGCTTGGACTACTGCAATGCGCTCTATGTGGGGCTACCTTTGAAGGTCACCCAGAAACTGCAACTAATCCAGAATGTGGCAGCCAGACTGGTGACTGGGAGCGGCCGCCGAGACCATATAACACCGGTCTGGAAAGACCTACACTGGCTCCCAGTACGTTTCTGAGCACAATTGAAAGTGTTGGTGCTGACCTAACCCTAACCCTAACTGCCTATGGCATGGCAGCTTCTTCCAAGCTCCACTCTCCTGCTGGGGCTTCATTTTATAAAGTTTGCCGCGCACACACACACTTAAAAGCATAGCGACAGCACTTCCTCCTCCTGAAACTCATCCGTGGGGAAAATGGGATGAAGTTCTTGAGATGCCACCACCATCAGCAGCAGCTGAGCTGTGCTTTGCCACACCTTGCCTCACCCCTTAATTACTGTGTCGTTTAGGGACGATCAAAAAGGCATAAAGATAAGCTTTGAGCCAGCAGAAGGGACAGGCAATGCTCCTGGTGACAATTAACGCCGTCAGAGAAGGGACATGAAATCGGTATCAGCCAGAGGGGGTTCCTTTCTTGTCTCACTCTCTCCCTCCCAAGCCATTGAGATCCTGGCCTCAGATTGCAAAGGGAGGACCACCATGGAGGCACCTGTCTTCATAACAAAGCCATCATTATGTCAAGTAGCACGTTGGAGGCTAACCAAGTTAATTAGGAGCCGTCAGCCCAAGCATCTTAATTACATGGATATCCTTCTGCTCTTCCATGGAACTGAGGAAAGGAGGAAAATCGGGCTCCCTTTTCCCAACATGACTGCTCTGTGTTGTGGGTCATGAACCACACTAGCCTAAATTTGACACAGAATGGAAGTTTGTTGTTGTTTAGTCGTTTAGTCGTGTCCGACTCTTTGTGACGCCATGGACCAGAGCACCCCAGGGCCTCCTGTCTTCCACTGCCTCCCTCATGCTAGTAGCTTCGAGAACACTATCCAACCATCTCGTCCTCTGTCGTCCCCTTCTCCTTGGGCCCTCTGTTGTCTTTGTCCATGGAGTTTTCTTGGCAGGGATACTGGAGTAGCTTGCCGGTTCCTCCTCCAGGTGGATCACATTTGGTCAAAACTCTCCACTATGACCTGTTCATCTTGGATGCCCTGCTCGGCATAGTTCATAGCTTCTCTGAGTTATTCAAGCCCCTTCGCCACAGCAAACCAGTGATCCATGAAGGGGGAATGGAAGTTACATAATTCTTTAAAAAAAATAAAAATGCTTTATTGATATTAAAACCAAGAAACATACAGAAGAGTTATCCATAAATGTAAAAAAGAAAAATAATAAAACTTATTACATTGCATCACGATACGTTTTTCTTCTTAAGTTTATATCAACTTCCCGTCACCCCACCGTGTTTTATCTAACGCACTATATATTTCTGTTTTCTTTTGTTACATTTCGTCAAAATTGTGAAATCTCTTAATTATTCATCCTCCCACAAAAGTCATTCAAAGGCTGCCACAGACATCATATTGTTACAGTAATCCTTTAAATCTTTTTTGTACATATCCCATTTCTTAATAAACATTTGACCGGTGTGGCCTCTCAGTTTTCCTGTTAATTTTGCCGTCTCCACGTATTCCGACATTCTATTTTGCCACTCCAGCTCTGTCGGTGTTTTCTCTCCTTTCCAATTCATAGCTATTAATACTCTTGCCGCTACAGCAGCATACAAGAATATTTCTCTTACATTTGGGGGTATGTGAGCCTAAAATCCCCAGAAGGAAAGCCTAAAGTTTGTTTGTTTGTTTGTTTTACAAAGGGACCTTAATTATTCTTTTAAGTTCATTATAGATTACATCCCAATATTCTTTTATTTTCTTGCAGGTCCACCACATATATAGCATTGAGCCTTCCGCCTCACCACATCTTCAGCAAGAAGTTACATAACTCATTGCTGCCACAATTGCATTTGGATAGCTTTACCCAAAACAGGCTCATTGAAATGAATGAATGTAAGTTCGGTCCATTAATTTCAACAGATCTGTTCTGTGTAAATTTCAGATGAAAGTTTGCCCTTTTTGTGTTTTTACTTTTGCTTTTTTTGTATCCCGCATTGAAAGACCTTTTTTGTGGTTCAGCAGTAGAGGAATGTATGTATCAACAAATATATTAAGCGGGAAGGTGTGGGGACGGCTACTTGGAGTAGCATGGGAGTAGAATAGACTGATTCAGAGAGGTTAAAGCTGAGAAATGAGAGTGCTCAACAACATCTCAGGGCAAGGCGACTTGGGAAATGTTGTATATACCGTGGTACCTTGGGTTACATATACTTCAGGTTACATACGCTTCAGGTTACAGACTCCGCTAACCCAGAAGTAGTGCTTCAGGTTAAGAACTTTGCTTCAGGATGAGAACAGAAATTGTGCTCCGGTGGCGCAGTGGCAGCAGGAGGCCCCATTAGCTAAAGTGGTGTTTCAGGTTAAGAACAGTTTCAGGTTAAGAACGGACCTCTGGAACGAATTAAGTTCTTAACCTGAGGTACCACTGTACCAAGGATTTGGGTAGCCTGGGGAAATTGCTTTCCTGAAGATCCCCGGCTCCTGTCGGATGCTGCCATTGCAATTTTTACAGAGCCAGAAAACGAGGACTGGGGCATCCCTACCAGAGCCGTCTTACCCATAGAGGCTAGTGGCGCAGGACGCCAGGGCACCAGGTTCTGGAGGGCGCCAGGGAAGAGGCAGAGGCTGGACGTGGTGCCTCCTGGCATCAGCTCGCTGCCCTTGCCTGCCTCTGCCATGACTCACCAAAGCAGCGCCGTGTCCTGAGCCTCCATCTGCCGTGGCCACCACAATCCAGCTGAGCCACAATCCAGTTGAGCCAGAAGGTGCCGTGTCCAGCCTCTGCCTCTTCCCCGCCAGAGGAGCCGCCCTCCAGCCATTGCCCTCCTCCTCCAGCCCTAAAAAAAGTTGACAACTCTGGGAAAGGGGGGGTGCCAGAGGGATCTTTGCACCACAGCATCGGATATGCTTAAGACGGCCCTGATCCCTACTGTAAGTATGGCAAGACAAGAGAAGTGGGGCAGTGCATAAGGCCTTGTGGAAGTTAAGTAGGTGTTGAATCCCACTATGCTACCATCCAGGGATGAGCAAATCCATCAATTTCAAATTCTCTCCATTTCTCATTTTGACAAGACTAAATTGACTTCCCCACATTCCTACCTCGGTTTGCAATTTTTAAAAGTCCTGGTGAAAATGCATCCAAATTTTTGTACCAATTTCTCCTAGTGTACACATATCTGCATGCAATTTTGCCTAATACACCCTTTTAAGCAACGTAATTTCTCTTAATACAGTGGTACCTCGGGTTACATATGCTTCAGGTTACAGACTTCACTAACCCAGAAATAGTACCTCGGGTTAAGAACTTTGCTTCAGGATGAGAACAGAAATCATGCTCTGGCTGCACGGCAGCAGCAGGAGGCCCCATTAGCTAAAGTGGTACCTCAGGTTAAGAACAGTTTAAGGTTTAGAACAGACCTCCAGAACGAATTAAGTTCTTAACCAGAGGTACCACTGTATAATGCATTTCTGTATTTTATTTTCATGGATATGTGCATTTTTATCCACACATTCCCCTGGTATTTTTTTTCCGTACACGTCACTTGACTGGAGAACTGCGTTGCAAAATTCAGGAAAGTGCAAATTTCGGTTCACAGGTTGTTCTGTAAAGTTCAGTTTAGCAAAGTTCACCTTAAAAAGCAAACTGAATCTAATCCCCACCCCTGTCTCTCCATCTCTAGCAGTGTGTGTGTGTGTGTGTGTGTGTGTGTGTGTGTGAGGATTCGGTCCCAATACATTGATTTAACAAATTAGTAAGCTCCTGCCAACCTAGCAATTCGAAAGCACGTCAAAGTACAAGTAGATAAATAGGTACCACTCTGGCGGGAAGGTAAACGGCGTTTCCGTGCGCTGCTCTGGTTCGCCAGAAGCAGCTTAGTCATGCTGGCCACATGACCCGGAAAAAGTGTCTGCGGACAAACGCCGGCTCCCTTGGCCAGTAAAGTGAGATGAGCGCCCCAACCCCAGTTGTCCGCAACTGGACTTAACTATCAGGGGTCCTTTACCTTTACCTTTAAGAGGGAAAGAACAGAGGAAAGAACAGTCCAACAATCTACTGGTGCTGGGAAACTAGTTGCTTTTATTGCCATTCACCTGCCCGTGAGGGTGAGGAAACCCATCAGGGTATTGGGCTTTTCACAACCAGCATGGCTGGGTCATGACATATTAAGAAGGAGATTCCAGACAGGAGCTCAGTTGGTCAACAAGACTCCCTGAAATGCTGCGATGATTGTATAGGATAGGACAAAGCAAAACCCAAACATTTTGGAGAAAGCAAAACGTCAAAGCAGAGTGCAGAAGGGACTGGCTTCGATGGCGTCAGTGAGGTCCAGCAGGTGATCAATGTTGAATTGCTTTCGCAGGGAGCTCCCCTCAGTTTTCCAGCAGCCAAGAAAGAACATCATCAACAGCAGCCCTTGGGAGGTTGCTTGGTTTTCGGGGGACACTTCACAGCTTGGGGGCAGCACTGGGCAGTTTTGGGGGGACACTTCACGGCTGGGGGGCAGCACTGGGCAGTTTTGGGTGGGCATTTGGTGGGGGGAGCCTTGCAGCCTTGCTTGCACTGGGACATGTTTCCAAAAGTGGGTGGATAAACCTGCAGAGGCAGAATGAAGGAACAAAGAATAATTTAGGGGAGCAAAGAGAGGTTGACCTTATCCCCGACTCCAGTTCCCAACAGGGGCTAACCAGACACTTCTGAGAAGCCCTGTGAGAAGGACGTGGCAGGGACCACCCTCCCCTTTTGATTTCTCTCCCATCAAAGCCACTTCCGAGCTAGAGAGGAGGTGGGGTTGCGGGCTTCACGCCCCCCACGTGCGCAGGGGCTGGCTTGCAGTCCCCGCCTCCTTAAGGGAATCCTCGGCTGCATCATTCCCCTTGCCAGCCAATCGGCTGGCCTGGGAGGCGTGGCTCACGCTATTTAGGGCCAGCGCGGCCGAGGAGCTTCCTCTTTCAGCGCCGCAGCTGCTCCGGTTTCCCAACCCCCACCCCCGCCCTTTAGGTTTGGCTCTCTGACCTTGCTATGGACCTCGGTTGCTCGCCGTTAAGGGGCCTGATAGGAATTTTTTCCACTTGGCAAATTGGCTCCAGCCATTTGGTTTTTCGCCTACCTCATAGCAAATCGTCACAACTTCCTTGGCATTGGCAGTTAGGCATTGGTAAGGGTATTGTTATGTAGATGAGAGGGGGGAGGAAGTGCCATCACCTCCCCCCATAGCAAAGGGTAGTCCGGTAAAGGATTCCGGGGGAAGTGGCCCTGTCCAAAGCTTATGGAGGTGTGGGCCCAAGGCATGCCCCCAAGCGGTGACCCCAGGGGAGCTCCTAGTTGACGTGCATCAGCAGGAGTCCCCCTACTGGTGGTTAACCCTTGCCGGCCTTTATGCAATCAGGCTGAAGCCGGATAGTCGGTAGGACCAATGCCTAAGCCAATACCACTCATTACCTGTAACCAATAAAGTTGTGGCCATTTTTCACCCATTAACCTAAAATATTGGTGTCGTGTGTTTTTATTTCCAATGGGGGGATGCGGGAACTCGCCACGCAATTGAGATTCTGAGATACACTGTCTCTGTCCCTGGAGGCTCCATTCCCAACTAGAGACCTAAGTGCAATGGGGCAGCAGATCAGTGGTTAGAGCACTTGCTCTGCATGCAGAAGGGCTGAGAATGTAGAAGGCAGTGTTGTCTACATGGACTGGCAGTGGCCCTTCAGGGTTTCAGGCAGGGGCAGTGCCAGACCTACATGGAGGAATTGAACCTGAATCCTTCTGCATGCCAAGCACCTGTTCTGCCTACTTAGCCAAGGCATCCATCCACCCTGGCTCCTTCCCTCCACAATGGTAGACCAACCAGATGCTTCTGGGAAGCCCACGGCCAGTGCATGAAGGCAGCAGAACCTGCAAGAACCTTCTGCATGCCAAGCAGGTGTTCCACCGAAGCTCCAACTATGGCACGGAGAGGGGCATCCCTTTCAGGAGGGTGCACTCTAGGATTTCCCAAAACTCGAGAACCAACCATGAGGTGGCACTGTGGTTACCACATCGACAGGCCGTCATTTTCCCCCGGAGGAAAACTCTAGAGGAAATCCAGTAAACAGATTATTTAAATCCCACCTCCATGCAAAGAGATCAGTATGCCACCTCGCTTGAGATTCTCATGGTGTTGCCTCATGCTCCAGCCCGGGGCTGAGTTGCAGAACGCCATGGACTGCTATTTCCACATCATGCCAGTCTCTGTGGAGATCGTATCTCCAGCCCTTTTCCCAAAACCTCATAGAGGAAAACAGAGAGCTAATGTGCAGCTAATCTGCACAGCTCAGAGTGCAGTGAGAAAGCAAGACTTACCCAAATTCACAAGACGGAGCAAAGAGGTGAAGCCGACCCAACAGATTGATGAGCCAGGAGCTGCCAGCCTCTCTTTTATACCCGATTCCAAACTGTCTCTTCCGGGCAGAGAAATGTGGACAGGAGAGATTGCTCAATTATCTAATTGACCCGATGAGATCTCACAAGGGCCAACACCCCATTTTCTCCATCAATGGCTCAGGTGAGGAAACATTCCTGCTTGATGAGGCCATCGCCTCTCCGCAAATTCCGCTCTTCTCTAGAACGGTCAAGGAGTTTCTTAGCATCAACATCATTCTTAAGTTCTGCTGCTTTTGGGCACCGGAAGAGTCATAGCTTCATGGTAGAGCATGTGTTTGGCATCCAGAAGGCCCCAGATTCAAGTCCTGGAATCTCCAGGCAGAGCTGAGGATGAGGGAAAGGAACCCTGTCTGAAACCCTGGGCCACCACCGCCAACCAGTGTAGACCAGTGTTTCCCAATGTGGGCGATAACACTTCCTAGGGGTGCTGGAACGATCCTTGGGGGGGTGTAGTAGCCTCGGGTGCAATTGGGGGAGGTGTTGAATAAAAATAAGGGGGCAGTGGAAGCATAAAGAAAAAAGAGAAAGGAATTTTGGGAAACCATTCGTACATGTTTCATCTTTCTTTTTGAAACAATTTTTATTTGATGTTACAAAAACAAAATTGCGTGGCAAGTCCCCCTCCCCCCATGAGAAATAAAGACACAGGACACGGTATATAAGGTTAATGGGTGGGAAATGGCCACAACTTTATTGATTGCAGGAATTGAGCAGTATTGGCTTAGGCATTGGTCCTATCAGCTAACCGGCTTCAGCTTGATTGCATGAAGACCGGTGAGGGTTAACCACCGGTAGGGGGAGTCCTGCTGATGTACATCAACTAGCATCTCCCCAGGGGGTCACCGCTCGGGGGCGTGCCTTAGGCCCACACCTCCATAGGCTTCCGACAGGGTAACGCCCCCCGGAATCCTTTACCGGACTACCTTTTGCTTTGGGGGAAGGTGATGGCACTGTCTTCCCCCTCATTTGCATAACAATACCCCTACCAATGCCTAACCGCCAATACTGAGAAGTTGTGATGATTTGCTACGAGGTAGGCGAAAAACCCAAATGGCAGGTGCCAATTCGCCAAGTGGAAAAAACTCCTACCAGGCCCCTTGACGGTGACCAACCGAAGTCCATAGCAAGGTCAGAGGAGTAACTAAAGGGTGGGCAGGGTGGGAAACCTGATCAGCTGGAGAGGCGAAGAGAGAGCAGTCCTTGGGCGTGCCAGGCATAACTAGCCTGGGCCACGCCTCCCAGACCAGCTGATTGGCTAGGCAGGGAGCTGACGCCCCCGGAGGATTCCCTCAATCTCGCGGGGGCTGGAAGCCAGCCCCCACGTGTGTGGGGAGGGTGTGGGCCCACAACCCCACCTCCTCACCAGTTCAGAAGTGGCTTTATAACAATACAACCATGCACATCAACAGTTAATAGATTCTTCCAAATCTATTGACTTCCCACCCTCCCCTCCATGGTTCCTCTTATTACAGCTTTTCTACTCCATCTTTTTCAATAATCCATGTTTAATCAACTCCATTAACTCCACAGTAATTGCAACGTTACGAGTCTCATTGCGATGCTGCTAATGTTTTTATCTGCTTACAGTGGTCTCCAAGATAAATTATAAACTTCCCCCATTCTTTGTTGAAATTTCAGTTCCTGAGCTTTCCGGTCAGTTTTGCCATTTCGGCATAGCCCAACAATTTTATTTGCCACTCTTCTCTAGTAGGGACTTAATGTTCTTTCCATCTCTGGACTAACAGCATCCAGGCAGCTGTGGTTGGATACATTAGAAGTCTTTTCTGCTCCCTTGGCAAAACAGCACCTCCAATTCCTAGTGGAAAAAAGCCTCTGGTTGTTGTTTTTTAATCAAAGTTAATTTAAACATTTTTTTCAATTCATTATATATCATTTCCCAGAATGCTTTTATTACCTTACAAGACCACCACATATGATAAAAGGTGCCTTTGTACATGTTTCATCTGTTGTGAAATAATATTTACCACTTAGGTAGGGTGTGTTGAGGGACAGTGACAATTTCTCCCCTGGATCCGACAGTCGTGCTGGAGTCCCTTTTCGACTTTAACCAGACCCGGAAAGTGGACTGCAGTTTGCCTGCCTATTTGGCCAATGGTAGATTTCCAGGAGGGTTCTGAGTAATTTTTTTCTGAAAAAGTGGCAGTAAGCCAAATAAGTTTGAGAAGCTCTGGTCTAGACAATACAGTGATACCTCTGGTTACGAACAGGATCCATTCTGGAGGCCCATTTGCAACATGAACAGAACGCAACCCGCTTCTGCGCATGCGCGTGACATCATTTTGAGCGTTTGCGCATGCGCGAGTGGCGAAACCCGGAAGTAACCCTTTCCGGTACTTCCAGGTCGCTGTGGGATGCAACCTGAAAACGCTCAACCTGAAGCAAACGTAACATGAGGTATGACTGTACTGCGGTTGTCGGACAATGGACTGAATATGAGGCAGGTTCCTCTGTTCCTTTTAGAAGAAGCTCTTTCTTCAGAATGATGAGGACTAGAATATTACTTTATCTTGAGGGGTAAGGTCCACGAAAGAGCACTGACTTTTCATGCAGAAGGTCCTAGGCAGCTAGACTGGGGATGGGAGCGGCCACCAAGACCACATAACACTGGTCCTGAAAGACCTACATTGGCTCCCAGCACATTTCTGAGCACAATTCAAAGCCTTGGTGCTGACCTTTAAAGCCCTAAACGGCCTTGGCCCAGTAGACCTGAAGGAGCGTCTCCACCCCAGACACCGGGGTCCATCTCCCAAGGGCCTTTTGGCAGTTCCCTCCCTGCGAGAAGTGAGGTTACAGGGAACCAGGCAGAGGGCCTTCTCGGTGGTGGTGCCTGCACAGTGGAACGCCCTCCCAGCAGATGTCAAGGCAATATATAACTATTTTACTTTTAAAAGACAACTGAAGGCTGCCCTGTTTAGGGAAGTTTTTAATGTCTGATGCTGTATTGTTTTTAATATTCAGTTGGAAGCTGCCCAGAGTGGCTGGGGAAACCCAGCCAGATGGGTGGGGTATAAATACTAAATGCCATCAAATCTATACACCACTTAATTGCCCCCCAGCACCAAAAAGTAAAACATTAGAAGAACTCTGTAATGAAGCAAGTGCTAGAGTTGGCTCCCCCCTCCCCCTTTTCAGCCATCTTATCCCTTAGGCAGTGAGATACGTATGCTTTAATTAAACCCATGATCCTTGCTACATTCCCGATCCAGATTCCCCTCTGCCGATCTGCACTGCGACGAAGGGAAGGGGCAAATCCAATTCACACCAGTGGGAGATTTTCTTCCAACGCAAACAGTGGACCTGATCCATGAGCCCATTTGCATGCGCCAAATGTCTCCATCCACGCAGAGAGACATGCCTTCACGTTTCCAGGAACAGGAAAGAACGATTACCAGATAATGGGAGGTGAATCATCTCAGTCAAGGGTGGTTAAGATCTTCTCACTGAGCCAACCACCAATTACGGCATGGAATTCTCTAGAGGTCCCTTATTAGGATGATTATTTGGGAAGGAAGCTATTCATTGACTGATTGATTGATTGATTGAGATTGATTATATTTGTCACTTGCTACGTCTAGTGTCTGACAGCCATTCTTCAGGGTTTCCGGGAAGTTTTGGAAGGTTCAGTCCTCAATTTTGATTCAAAATAGGGTCTAACTGCATCATGTAGAACTGGCCTATAATCTGTGCAGGCTTGAAAGAGGCAGTCCGCCATCTTGATTCAAGATGGCAGCCAATTGTACCCAAACCTAGACAGCAAGTTGCTCCTCTAGCTCAGGAACCATCATGTGAAATTTGGTTATGATATCTTATGAAGTGTCCACATGTCCAGTGACCAAACAAGCCACTTTCCAATATATAGATAATACGAGGGGCTGCCACTCCTTCTTGCTCCAAATGTCAATCCTTTTCCCAATCCTTCACAGCTCTCTCCAAGCCCCAGAGATCAGCATGGGATAGATGATGATAGATAGATAGATTAGATAGATGATAGATAGATGGATAGATATAGATAGATAGATAGATAGATAGATAGATAGATAGATAGATGATAGATAGATGATAGATAGATGATAGATAGATAGATAGATAGATATAGATAGATAGATAGATAGATAGATAGATAGATAGATAGATAGATGATAGATAGATATAGATAGATAGATAGATAGATAGATAGATAGATGATAGATAGATAGATAGATAGATAGATGATAGATAGATATAGATAGATAGATGATAGATAGATGGATAGATAGATAGATGATAGATAGATAGATGATAGATAGATGATAGATAGATAGATAGATAGATAGATAGATAGATAGATAGATAGATAGATAGATGATAGATAGATATAGATGAGAGATGATAGATTAGATAGATAGATAATAGTTAGACAGATAGATAGTAGATAGATAGATAATTTAGTAGCTGCCCCGAGTGGCTGGGGCAACCCACCCAGATGGGTGGGGTGCAAATAATAAAATTGTTATTGTTATTGTTAATCAGGTTCTCCACCTTACTAACCAGACATCAGGATCCTCTTGCGCAGGGTATGAGATGCTCTCGCAGGAGTATCCCAGAACCTGGTAATCAATTTTTGTGCCAGGAAAGCCCAGTGCAAATGGAAGTTTTAAGCTCTCTTCCTTGTATGCCATTAATTTGCACCATTTCAACCACACATGGTAGAAATCATCCAAGTTATTTGCAGATAAAATGCAATTGTGCCGTGTATTGAAATATAGGCATCTTGTCCACCCTGCCTTCTCTATCCCACAACTTCAAAAGGAAGAAGAAAAAGAATTTTGGGCCCCTCTGGATAGTGTTTGTTTGTTTGGTTGGTTGTTTGGGGGGTCAGTTGGTTGTTGTTTAGTCGTTTAGTCGTGGCCGACTCTTTGTGACCCCCTGGACCAGAGCACGCCAGGCACTCCTGTC